TGAAATACTGGAAGACTGCTATCATGTCCCCCCCCCTCCTCCTTCTCTTTATTAAACTAGACATACCCAATTCCAGCAAGCGTTCCTTATATGTTTCAGCCTTCAGTTCCATAAGTCAAGGACTACCTATAATGCTGAGAAAAAAAGAAGGAAAGAGAAGGCCAGCAGCAGCAAGGTGGATAGACCTGGTGACAAGAACAATTAATGTCCCTGCTGAAAGACACGTTGAGGACAAATTATTCAGAAGAGACTCAATCTATATGCTTGTCAAGAGTCAACACGGACTCATCAACACCAATTCAATCAATGTCACTTCGTCTAATCAAATTGCTAATGTTTTCCTAGAGCTGCATAAATTATTCCTAGACGTGGCCTTTGGAAAAAATTGACTGGTGTCTTGAAAAAAATTGATTGTTACAGTGTCAGTAAGAAACTCTTTAAAATTAACGCTGGCTGGGAGATGTCTTTGAAGAGATTTGTCTTCAAAATCCCAGCTCTGATTCCTTTGCAGCAGCTGTCTTTTCAAGCCCAGAGGCGTAATTTTTATTATTCCTGGACAACAAATAAAAATGCTGCTAAAAATAGCCCATTCTCAGTTTGATCTCTGCTGCCAGACTGTTTTATTTAACCCAGAAGCAAGTTACACCAGGCTATTTCAGAGGCCCTGAATTTTTTTTATCGAACTAAAGGTTGCTAACATCACAAATGTGCACATGCTGGGGGGAAAAAATCTCCCCTATGGCACAGAGTTTGTTAGAAGCTTAGAACGATGCAAAAATCACCCCAGGATGGAAAAATTCCGAATCGCTGGAACCTGCAGTCTGCTTTACACATGGAGAGAAGTCACAGTTAGATTTCTGTTGTTCGTTTTTGGGCTACCTTGGCAAATGTTGAGTGTTGCAAATAAGTATTGCTGCGTTTCTACGCAGAAATGCAAGAGATTCGTTTGCTTCGGAGGAATTGTGTTTACAGTGGTTTCACTGGGAACCCTTTGCTTCTGTTTTGATTCATATGAGATTGAGCTAACACTGACCCTTCCTCACTTAGATTGTTGTTGTTGTTGTTAGTTGCGAAATCGTGTCCGACCGATCGCGGCTGCCTTCCCACGAAAGTGGTACCTATTCATTTACTTGACTTGCATGCTTTCAAACTCCTAGGTGGGCAGGAGCTGGGAGAGTGACAGGAGCTCACCCCATCGTACGGCACTTGGGTCTTAATTCCGGGCTGTCAGCTTTCCAGTTGACAAGCTCAGCCTCTTTAACCACTGAGCCATCATACCACCTGTCCTCAGGGGTCCTCACCTGTCTGTTGTTGTTGTTAGTTGCGAAGTCGTGTCCAACCCATTGAGACCCCATGGACAACGTTCCTCCAGGCCTTCCTGTCCTCTACCATCTTCTGGAGTCCCTTTAAGCTCACGCCTACTGCTTCAGTGACTCCATCCAGCCCCCTCATTCTCTGTCGTCCCCTTCTTCTATTGCCCTCCATCTTTCCCAGCATCAGACTCTTCTCCAGTGAGTCCTTCCTTCTCATTAGGTGGCCAAAGTACTGGAGTTTCAACTTCAGGTTCTGGCCTTCTAAAGAGCAGTCGGGGTGGATCTCCTCTAGGACTGACCGGTTGGATCGCCTTGCAGTCCAGGGGACTTGCAGGAGTCTTCTCCAGCACCAGAGTTCAAAGGCCTCAATTCTTTGGCGCTCAGCCTTTCTTATGGTCCAACTTTCACAGCCATACAATGCAACTGGCCTTGACTATACGTACTTTTGTTGGCAGGGTGATGTCTCTGCTTTATAGTACGCTGTCTAGATTTGCCATAGCTTCCCTCCCCAGGACCAAGCATCACTTAGATTAGCAGCTGATTAAACCCTGAAAGCTCCTTCACTATGAGTCCAACTAAAGCTTTATGTAACAAATGGACATTGATTCCCATTCAGGATCATGAGTGCATCATAAAGCACTGGAGGTAGACAAGGCTGATCACATCCCCTTTTAAAATTAAGATTACAGAGCCTTCTAAGAAGGAAGACAATGGAGTGGCATTGTGGCCTAGAGGTGAGAATGTTTGCTTCCCATTGGGAAGGTTGAGGGTTCAATCCTAGGTAGCTAAAGATGTTTCTCTATCAGGGCGCAAAGAGAAAATATGGGCTGTGAACTCTGCGTTAGGCATCAGGAAGGGCATCTGGACTGTAAATGCTCAGCTCCATTCAGTCACCCTGACTCCACCCCGAATTAAGGGATTACAGGTTTTTTAAAAAAAAAACAAACAGGGAAGGCAATGCACCATGCAACAATAATGGTGTGTGACAAACATCACCATAAGGATGAATCCCTCTTTCTGGAAAGGGAGGCTTGTTCTATTTTCCATGGCTCAAACCGGCTCAGAATTCAACATTCACTCAAAACTGCTTCCAGCTCATTTTTTTTCCCCCTAGGGGCCTATATTATTTGTGGCATGTCAGGGTGCTGGAGGCTCAAAGAAACCAATCAAAGTTTGGCCAGTGTCTCACTGCTAAAACAAGTCAGTGCAGTTCGCCATCTGTACATTTTGGCTGCGTTCCCTTGTTTGGGCCCGCAGCCCTGTCACAGAATCTTTGTTACGGCAGTTAATGTGCTTTCAGTTCATTTCTGGCACAGCGTTACGAATGCCAGGAAAATTATGACAGCTTCATACCAGGCCTTTCTAAAGGGAGTTTTTTCTTCCCCAAGATGCTGACCAACTTGCGAATACAGAGGTGGAACCTCTGAAGATCACAAAGTCTTAAAAAAAGAGAGAGTGTGAACAGTCCAGGGACTGCCATATCTCTCGATATTTCTAAGGCAGGAGGGGGGGAGGGGGAGGAGGAGGAGGAGGAGGAGGAGGTGGTGGTGGAGGAGGAAGAGGAGATGTCTCCTTGGGACTCATACAAATAAACTAGATCTTATATTTGACAAAGGAAAGATGAAAAAATGAAGAGTCTCTAATCAAAATGCAAACTTCCTTCTCTGCCTTTCATCATATGGAAATTTAACTAACTAAGAATTGGCAAACAAAGTTGTTTCTTACCCCAAAGCAAAGACGGCTCCTTCTAAACATTGGAAATTCCTTTGGATGCTTTCCGATTATGAGTGTAACCAGAATCAAAGGCTGTGGCTTTAATTCTCTTGCCGGTTCTTATTTTCCATTCTCTTCCAATGGGTGCCTCCAAAACTGGCTGTTCTCATGTAGCTTCTCCCTACCTCGTTCGTGGAATGTTATGGGACCCATCTACCATTTATAACTATCCCGTGGTTTTGTTCCACCATTTCTTCTGCCACACACAGTGTCCTCTGACTGGAAGTCCTACAGTCAGCCTTTCTCAAAGCACTTCGAAGATCTCCTCAACCTTCTATGGTTCATCTCAGAAGATGAAGCCAAGACGACTAGGGGCTCATCTACATCCCCAGAGAAACCAATGGAGGTAAAGAAGTCATAAATTAAAGCAAGAGAAGGTTTATGTTCTGGAACACCCAACTACATCCAAATTAGGATCCAAAAAAATCTAATAAAACAAGAGTTAGATGTTTGTATCGTGGTTGCTCTGATTATGTCCTATCCAGGCAAGTTTCCTTGTTCCTCTTATTGTTATATTCTTTCCATGCATTAGTATGCATACTGGCCGGTCACCCTGAGCAAGGATGTTTTTCAGCAGAGGACACTTGATCCCATCATTACAACCTCAAGGCTGGTAATGAGATCAGGAACTTGGCACATGACTGTTGGGATCAAGTATCTTTCAGGTGGCAGAAAGTGAGCTTATTAAATTTTAAACAGAGTATGGCCCTCATCTGTTGTTTCAGCTCCTAAGTCATCATCCCAACCCCGACCCCACTCCTAACCCACAAGAATCAAGTCTAGAAAGCTTCAAATCGTCTTTCACAGTACTATATCTCTAAGTTCAGACTTTGCACCTTCAACATTAATTAAAAAGTCTGTTAGCATAAATCTATGTATAGATATAACCCAGTCTTAGGTAGTCCTTCTCTTGGAGATCTTCTACTCCAACTCCTTGCCCAGGGCAAGAGATCTTATACTATCCTGGTTGTCCAATCTTTTCTTGAAAACCTCTAGTGATCCAGAACTCCAAGAGTCCATCTGCTCCACTGATTAATCGTGATCGCAATCAGGAAATTCCTCCTTATTTTCAAGTTGGATCTGCTTCTGACAGGCTTCCACCCATTGCTTTTTTGCCAGCTTAACAAGAAGCGTCAACCCTCATCCGTCTATGCTGCACATGGTGAGTTAGCACAATGTTTGTCAACCTTGCCAGCCTTAAGATGTGAAGACTTCAACTCCCAGAATTCCCCAGCCACCCTCTCTTTTCACAGGACTCCCCCACGCTCAAAGAACCACGCACCACATTGTATTGTGGACTGGCAACAGACCTCAGTTACACAATAGTTTTGGCAGTCAGTTATGGCCGTCAGCCCAACTCCTGACTTTTCCTTCCGTATTTAAATTTTCGCAGATCAACCTAGATATTTATATCTCACACACATGTTGTATTTTGATGTCCCTTTAAGTTTTTGCATCCAAAGTGCTAGCTGTAATTTTAGTGCTGGGTTAATTTGTAAATCGAGTGTTTTCAAGAACAGGGACAAACCAACAGAACTATTCTATTTTGGTTTTTGTTAAGTGTATGTACACACATATGGGCACCTAGATATAAACAGATTTATTTCTGACAAATGCAGGGCTTCAGCTGATTATCCCAAAGGTCTAAGATGGGTTGGGTAAGTGTGCAAAAGTGCACTGAACATGCCTGTGGTCTAGTCAAAGCTTTTGGCCAACACAGAAGACTTACACAACAGTCTGAAATATCAAAACAGCTAACAAAAGAACTGCAATTCAGGACTGCATGGTACGCCACTTTGTCAAACCAACCCCAGCCATCATCACATTCAACAGCTACACATGGAGAAGAAGAGAGTTTTGCCAAGTTGTATCTTTTGAGATCTATGAAAGAAACATGGGCTATGGAGTACTTACAAACTGCCGCCGAAGCTTCGTTTTGACCCGCTCCGTCTTCGTTTCGGCTGTGGGGAGAGAATAGCTGAGGGAGCTTAGATGGTTGTCCACCGATAGACTCTTCCTCATGTAGAAAGACCGAGTCCGGATGGCCCTGAAAGCGGCCTCATCCATCACAGTGCAAAGTCGTGGCTGCATGGCGGGCTCTCTCCCAGGACTCAGGCAGTCATCTTCTAGCTCCCAGGCCTCTCCTGGGGGGGTACAAAGTAGAGAAGATGGACTCTCGGGCCTAAAATGGAGGATTAGCATTCATAGATCCACCACAATATTATCCAACTTTCGGTCAACACTTTTACTAGGAAGAAAGAAAAATATCCATAATAGGCAGGGCTTGTCTTGTCATAGAACACCCAGAACGGAGTTCCGGCACCTTTTTTCGATGGAACCTTGTAGGGTAGGCAAGGTGGGTTATATGACATGTGTGAGTTCCAGCACCTTTTTTTTTTTTTTTTTTTTTGTAGTAGGCAATCAAGATTTAACGGTTTGCTGGCCAACTGTTGGGAGAATGGTATCAAATGAGACAAGGAGGGTCTTCCCTTCCAAATGCAGTTCATGACTAACGGAAAATATTTTCAGTTCTGTAAGAGAGTGTTTCTCAACTTGACCACTTGTACATCTGAACTAGACTGCGTCATTTCTCTATGTCATAGAATATATGGGAGTATGTGGGTATATGCTGCTATTATTATTGTTGTTGTTCTTGTTGTTTTTATTATTATTATTATGTCATATTTATGTAGTGTATATTGGAGATGGTGACCCTTTGAGAGCTGTCTTCTTCTTCTTGTGCCATATCCGTTATTGGATGTTGGCGATCATGTTTTTATCAGCAGCTGCACGAAAAAGGGCTGCTGAGTTTTGTCCAAACCAGTCCCTTAAATTTTTAAGCCATGATGTTCTTCTTCTGCCTGGACCTCGTTGGCCTTCCATCTTTCCCTGGAGGGTTAAATGGAGTATGCCGTATTTTTCTGGGTGTCGCATCACATGTCCGAAATATTCTAACTTTCGTTTTTTAATTGTTTTGATGATTTCCCTGGGCTTTCCCAGGCGGCTGATCCCCTCCTCATTTCTGATCTTGTCAACCCAGCTTATATGTAACAGCCACCTGTAAATCCACATTTCAAATGCTTCTAGTCTCTTCAGGTGCTCTTCTGTCACAAAATTTCATTTTAATGTAGGCCGGTTAGTGTACATTTAAAGTGACAATAAAGTTATTCTGAATCTAAGCCTTGAAGATGGGTGGACTTCATTCAACTCCCAGAAATTTGCAAAATGGAATCAAGCCAATTATCCTAGGAAGGATCTACCACAAACTCTAGTCTGGAGTATCTCAACCACAGCAGCTTGAAGATGGGTGGACTTCATGGTTGGCTGGGGAATTCTGGAAGTTGAAGTCCACCCATCTTTAAGTTGCCACGGTTGAGAAACACTGTTTTAAGGATCTGTATCCAAACCATAGCTTTATGCAAGCTGTATACATATTTTATGGATAATATGAAGGCAAACAGCACTGACCTACAGTACAAGGGTGGTCTAAGGACTAGAGGAATAATGCAGCTGAAGGCTCAGATCATCCTGCATAGCTAAATTTATGCAATGATCTTTATTAAAAGGCAAGACATGTCTTATCTAACGGTTCTGGCTTCTTGCAGAAGGAAAAGATCCTTTGTACTGAGAGGGACTGACATCAGAATATAATTTCTATCTGGCATTTATGTATTTGGTCCCTAAAATTAATGGTGAAGGATGGGACCATTTTTAATTATTTTTAGTTGAAATACATCAAGTACCCTCAAAACGTGAGGCTTATGCTAGACACAGAATGTTCTGCACTTTTTGGCTATGGAAATGGGGGGGGGGAGAACAAAAATTATGACCATTGCTAGATTCACTTTTGTAAGCTTTCTAGAACTTCAGTTTGGCCAGGGAAATTTGCAGCATTAAAGAGGAAGGCTGATCAACTGTTTACATGACAGTTGTCTTAATATTTCAGTTGATTCAACAATGTGACATTCTAAACAGCAGCCATCAGAAAAACACATGTTTAACTTGAAAAATCTTTCAGTTCTTCAGCACAATGTGCCTAGTAAAGATGGGTTTTATTCCAGCAAGGAACAGCATTTCCACATAAATTGATGGACTTCTTTAAAGCAATCTATGAATACAGGATACAGAATAGAATATAGAAAAACAGAACTGGAAGGGACTTTGGAAGTCTTCTAGTCCAATCCTCTGCTCAGGCAAGAGACCCTATAGCAGGGGTAGGCAACCTTGGCTCTTTTATGACTCGTGGACTTCAACTCCCAGAATTCCTGAGCCAGCACGGCTCAGATTGGAAACCTCTCCTTTTCCCCTCAGCATAGCTGGCTCAGGAATTCTGGGAGTTGAAGTCCACCAGTCATAAAAGAGCCAAGGTTGCCTACCCCTGCTCTATACCATATCAGACAAATGTCTAAATCAGTGGTTCTCAACCTTTTTATACGGCGACCCCGGTCATAAGGACGTGCCGCGCATGCGCGGCGGTGCCCCCATGCGCGGCGGTGCCCTTATGCGCGGCGGTGCCCTTATGCGCGACGGCGCCCCCGTGCGTGGCATGCATGCGCGGCGGCGCCCCCATGCGCGGCGTGCATGCGCGGCGGCGCCCCTGAGGGAAAAAATTGGCGGATCGCGTTGTTTGGCGACCCCCGTAAAATGGGGTCGCGACCCAAAGGTTGAGAACCGCTGGTCTAAGTAATAAACAAAGAATAAAAGAAAAGAAAGAATAAAATTCTTCACAGTCTCTCAAAATCGTTGAGATACTTTCTTCTCTCACAATGCTTCCTCCCTCACGCCTGCCTTATTTATTTTTCCCTTGCTTACTTAAATCTTTCCTGCAGAGTGTACCTCTTGTCATGCAGAGAAATTTTTAAATGGCAGACATTTGTTTTATCTGCTCAGCTCCCTTCCGCTTTTATGCTGTTGCTTTATAGGTCTTTGACAGGATTTGTGGTTTTCCAAGGAGGTAAAACCACCCTGATGCAAAAACATTGGCAAGCAGGCTGGATGGTTTTAAAGCAAACAGAGCTGGGATCGTGTCTAAGCATGAGAAAAAGTCACCGTGGCAGAAGCTGTGATCATCATTGTTTTAATTACAGAAGCTATCAACATTTTTCTTCAAACCTCCGTCCAAGCACAATCCCCTACCAGGCTTGGAACATCTGAACAAATTTTGACAACTTCAGACATGTAAAAATTCTTGAACAAAAGGCAGAACAAATTATAGGTAGTCCTTGACTTACGACCACAACCGAAGCCAAAATTTCTGTTGCTCAGCGAGACAGTTATTAAGTGAGCTTTGCCCCATTTTAACCACCTTTCTTGCCACAGTTGTTAAATGAATCACTGCAGTAACACGGTCGTTAAATGAATCTGGCTTCCCCACCGACGTTGCTTGTCAGAAGGTCATAAAAGGAGGTCACGCGACCCTTGGACACTGCGACCGTCATAAATCTGAACCGCTTGCCAAGTGTCCGAGTTTGGATCATGTGACCACGGGGATGGCTGCAAGGGTCCAGAAGTGTGAAAACTGGTCCTAAGCCAGTCATTTTTTTTCAGTGCCATTGTAACTTTGAAGAGTCCCTAAATGAACCGTTGTAATTCAAGGACTACCTGTATTCATTCAGAGTCTTCTTTTCTGCAGCAACTCTTTTAATGCCAGGCAATTAAATAGGAATTTTTCATCAATGGAATTCACAGCCTCCAGCAGCGGTGAATGCTCCAACACTGGAAGTTTTTAAGAAGAGACTGGACAGCCATTTGTCTGAAATGGTATAGGGTTTCCTGCCTGAGCAGGGGGTTGGACTAGATGACCTCCAAGGTCCCTTCCAACTACTACTACTACTACTACTACTACTACTACTACTACTACTACTACTATCATCATCATCATCATTTGATCATCGCACAGTCAGCCAGATGTTCAGACAGGATTTGCCATTTTTGTCTATCTATTGAGTCCTTCCCAAGGACCTGGGATAGGCAGATGTGGATGTTTGATGGTATTACAGATATCGTCGCAGGATGGAAGCAGTTCCCAGTAAGGCTACCTTTTGCAATTGACTGATGGTGAATTTGTCAATGCCGAGGATGGTGTTCAAGTTGTGCTCCAGTTGTTTTGGGATTGCACCCAAGGCGCCTATTACTATTGGAACTACCCTTGCTTGCCTTTGCCACAGTCTTTCTATTTCTATTTGTAGGTCTTTGTATTTTCTGATCTTCTCCAGTTCTTTCTCGTCTATTCCATTCTGCTGTCTCCAGGCACTGCCCAGACTTTTTTGTCTTTCTTAGCGACAATTGTTAAGTCCGGGGTGTTATGTTGCAGGTGCTTGTCTGTTTGAATTCTAAAGTCCCAGAGCAGTTTAATTTTATCATTTTCTATGATTGTTATTGTTATTGTTATTGTACGGAGAGGCAGTCTTCGAAGCCCAAAGCAATGTACAATATACAATATACACTACTGAATTGACAGGAATAAATGGCTCAGACTCACCAGTAGAGGGCACCGTGCAACCTTCTTGACAATCCGGGGCAGAGTGATTCCTAATCGGCTTCTGTTCAGGCATCTCTTTCCTGTACAGTTTGGAGTCCAAAAATGGAACCCGACTGATGACGGGGGACTGAGGGATACTTGGAAGTGTCCGAGACTTTCCTAAAAGTGGCCTCTGAGACTTTCGGTCGAGCGACCTTGAAAAGAAAGGAAATTTATATTAAAAAAATCACCATTACTTTCGGTTCCAGAATAGCCCGTGGAGTTTCAGATTTGAAAAGGCCTTGGAAACGAACAGATCTGAACATTTTGGAACTAGCAACATCCCTGGAATTCCTGCAAAAATATCCTTTTACATTCCTTAGTCGGCTGGAAAATTAGGCTTGAGCTGTTATTCCAAATTTTATTTTCCGGAAACAGTGATAGTGAGACCCTATATACCAGTGGTGGCGAACCTGTGGCATGGATGCCAGAGGCGGCACTCAGAGCCCTCTCTGTGGGCACGCGCGCCGTCGCCCTAGCCCTAGGCCTTCAGCTGGGTTTTATAAAACCTTTTCGCTTTAGGCCTCCGCCGCCGTGTGCAAAAAAAAAAAAAGGTTCAATCAGTCAATTTCAACTTCTCGCGGGAAAAAAAAGGTCTTGCAAAGTTGGAATTGATTGATTGAACTTTTTAGTCCCACCCAGTCTGCCGTTACCACCGCAACCACGCCCACCCAATGGGCCACACCCACCCAGCACTCAACAATGCATAAGTGGGTTTTGGGTTGCAGTTTGGGCACTCGGTCTCTCAAAGGTTCGCCATCACTGCTATATACCATTTCAGACAATCATTACACTGTCCCTGACATCATGGGATCACAATCGCAACTGGTTCCTTCTTACAACAACGTCTGGCCATATTTGTTTGCCAAAGCACTTTTTCCCTTGAACAATTTATAAAGCGCTACGCAGCTTTTTTTAATAAGCTGCCTAGAGCCCTATAAATAACCACCGCTTTGCTTTGGAAGAGTTCATCATCAAGATTTGACAAGGATTAAAAAGAAAAAAATCTTTTTAGCTGAAGCAATCAACCAGTTCTCATCATATTACCTGTTGAGAAACCAAACGAGAGAGAGAGAGAGAGAGAGAGAGAGAGAGAGAGAGAGAGAGAGAGAGATTTTGCTATCCAGATGCCACCAGATGTCTTTGGCATCAGAGACTAAAGCTACGACACAAGAATGACTAAAACAGCCTTGCCAAAGCCTGTCGGATTGGCATCGAATAATTTTACAGAAGCCTCACTCTGCTTGCTACGGTCACACATTGGCTTAAGCCAGGAATGCGCAAGGGGGATCAAATGAGAAACTGGAACTGCTGTGGACGGCCAAATCAATAGGGCTGTGAAGGTGCGTGGGCGTGCACACACACACATAGTGGACAATCACTTAAATACAAGCCAGCAGTGTGCTGTAGCTGCCAAAAAAGCCAACACAGTGCTAGGCTGCATTAACAGAAGGATAGAATCAAGAGAAATATTAATACCACTTTACAAGGCCTTGATAAGGCCACACTTGGAATACTGCATCCAGTTTTGGTCACTGTGCTGTAAAAAAGATGTTGAGACTCTAGAAAGAGTGCAGAGAAGAGCAACAAAGATGTTTAGGAGACTGGAGGCTGAAACATATAAGAAACGGTTGCTGGAATTGGGGATGTCTGGTTTAATGAAAAGAAGGACCGGGGGTGACATGATAGCAGTCTTCTAATATCTCAGGGGCTGCCACAAAGAAGAGGGAGTCAAGCTATTCTCCAAGGCACCTGAAGGCAGGACAAGAAGCAACGATGGAAACTAACCAAAGAGAGAAGCAACCTAGAACTAAGGAGAAACTTCCTGACAGTTAGAACAATCAATGAATGGAACAACCTACCTCCAGAAGTTGTGAATGCTCCAATACTGGAAGGTTTTAAGAAGAGACTGGACAATCATTTATCTGAAATGGTACAGGGTTTCCTGCCTAAGCAGGGGGTTGGACTAGATGACCTCCAACTCTCACCAGAGTTGCTAAGTGAATCATTGCCATTGTTAAGTTAGCAACACGGTTCTTAAGTGTCTTCCCCTGTTGACTTTGCTTGTCAGAAGGTCGCACAAGGGGATCACGTGACCCCGGGGGACGCTGCAACCGTCATAAATATGAACCAGTTTGCCAAGCATCTGAATTTTGATCACGTGACCCTGGGGATGCTGCAACGGTCATAAGTGTGAAAATGGTCATAAGTCACTTTTCTCAGTGCCAAGTAAGTCAAGGATTACCTGCAGCGTATTTCGCACCCATCAAATGAAGAAAAATTGTAGGGAATTCAAGGAAATTTGGGTGCATGGTGGTGGGGGGGGGGTCACACTGACTGCTACATACAACTGGGGCAGGGTGTCCAACCTTGGCCACCTTAAGACCTGTGTGATTCAACTTCCAGAATTCATGCTGGCTGGAGAATTCTGGGAGTTGAAGTCCACAGGTGTTAAAATTGCCGAATCCCAGGGCCTTTGGGGAAAACTAGGGTTTATTTGCTACTCAGTCCTGCCAATTTTAATGCAGGAGTCATTTACTTGACTCATTCATTTCCAACCTTGCAGTGGCCGAGTTGGCACACCGGAGCTGAGCCAGAGAAAAGCTAGAAAATCATCATGAGACGATCAGCTCCTCACACTGACGTGTTCAGCGAGATGGAAAGACAGTTCACAAGCAAAAGTAACATTCTGGGGAACGGTTTCAATTCCAACTGCCTAGTTTAATGTATGTGTTGCTCCTGGGACGTCCGGATTTTGGGGACATCCCCTTAAGCTAGTCAGTTTCGCTTCATTGACTTCATTTTTTGCCATCAGATGCCTTCCCCAGGAAATTAAGCGGAGAAGCAGCTTTCTCCAAGCTTGAGAATGTGAAATGTCTCAAGTATGACATCATTCAAATCAGGTGTCATGACAACTGCAAAAGCTTGTTTGCATCCCGACGCTTGCCTCCTTTCATTCCACAGCTTCGGGAATAAACAAAACCTTCTCTAACTTATAAAATATTTAAATTGAAGCGATGCAAAGGTGCAAAATAGGTAGAGGTGCGCCCAAGGGTTTCATAATGAGGGGAAAATACCTTCCCTTGCTAAAGTATAATATACATTGCCGATTACACAGCATTCTTCACTTCTACTTCTTTTCTCTTTTATTTATTTATGTTTTTGGCAGAGAAACTTAAATTAGTGATTGTTGTTGGCAGACCAGCACAAACTGCAGTGATTTCAAAATATGGATAATCTGTACCAAGAGGACGGAGAGACAGAATGCACAAATACTGTAGCAGCCAATTCCTTCTCATCTTTAAGCGGGGGTGGGGGGGAACACAGTCTTTAAAAATATTCCTTTGGGGAAAATATCCCTGCGGTTTACAGGCAGGGCCTCAGTGTTCTCACAGGGGGAGAATAGATAAAAACCCTGATTAAGATAGGGGACAATGATCAAGTTTGCAGTTGACATGGAGCCAGGTACAGTGGTGGGATTCAAATATGTGAACAACTGGTTCACAGCAAGACTGGACCATGTTCAAGGATTCAGTGAAAAGTTCACAAACAACTTTTACAGTTAAATAAAACATGTATCCCTGGCTTTACAATACCAATACATTTCTCACAAGACACAGAAGCAATAGAAATAGTTTAGGGGAAGCCTGTTTTATATATTTTAAGTCACTTCCAGTTGGGGAAGGATGATATATCACCAATTGCAAGATATGGACCAAAGCCAGTGATATACAACTAGCTTCACACCGGATTCGACGCCATGTTTTGCTTAATCAAGATTTAAATAATAACCCACCATTAGATTGGCTCACACAAACCTGCTAAGCTGTAAACTATGGTTTACTGTCCAAAAGGCTGGATTTGTAAAATACCAGGAGCCAAAATCAAACCACACTAGGGGGTTTTACTGTACGGGGAGAACTAGCCTACAGCTAAATTCACCAGAAAACTGGAAACAAATACAGATCCCAGATGTTATTTTGACAGATGCTGTAAAGTATGGTGCCTTTGACCTTTCGTGGGTGTTCCCAGCAGGCTAAGTCCTTTATTTAAAATAATTACAATGTGCCTTTTCAAAAATTACAGGCAGTTTTTCTCACTGCTATACGTCACCAATTTAGTTATTAAAATCTAGGATGAACACAAAAGTGAAATGGAACAATTCCTTTGCTTGATAAATGTAGGGTCTGACGTCCTAGTTTACCAAATCTTCCACTTGATGTCTCATAATCTGCAGGCCCACAACTAAGAGTTCAGTTTGGAGTATACTGAAGAGATAATGTAGATTTTCATAAAGCTGCCTCCTCCACCATACAGGTAGTCCCTGACTTACAACAGCTTGTTTAGTGACCGTTGAAAGTTACAATGGCACTGAAAAAAGTGAGTTATGGTCACGTGATCAAAATTCAAGCACTTGGCAACTGACTCATATTTAGGACAATTTCAGTGTCCCAGGGTCATGTGATCAACTTTTGCAATTAATATAACATTAATCATTTTAAATGTCCATTTCTCTGCTCTTCTAAGTGCCTTGGAATGAGCAAAAGGACTGTGTTTTGAACACGCCTCATACACGCATTATTACCAACTCCTTATCGTATGCGTTTCCTTCCGTGCTGTGTTTTTAATAAATTCATCAGTAATCAGCACAAGCTTAAAGCTCTTCATTCACGGAGCCAGCTGGCGTGCAAAGCATTTCAAATTCCAAGCAGCAACCTTGACCTTATCCACACTGTTCAGATGCCAGGCCAGCCATCCTAGAAATCTGGCAAGTCGAAAAACAGTTCCACTCTCAGCTCAAAAACTTTTGAAATGAAGCTTTTCCCACTTGGACAGAACCACGGTTGGTTAAAAAATAAATAAATAAAGCTTTTGCACGCAGCATCACACAAGTCGGACAAGCCAATGACTTCAAAGAGAACTAAAGTGAAGTGTCATCTGCAAGAGATAAAAGTAACCCACTTGTTTTAAACGCTGGGGAACCTAATGCAAAACAGGCCTTATCGTCTTTTTAAACTGAAAGCGACACTGATCAAGCTTCATCATCTTTAAGCAGGATTAACTGAAAAGAAAGGAATGGGGTTGTGAGAATTTCAGCCACAGCATGATCTTCCTTTTAGATATATCCTTTTAGACATGCACATTAGGATAGCAG